CTACAGAGGAAATGGGAGCTTCCGCTCTCAATCTTTGAAGCGAACTGGATACCTGGGCTTTAGTTATTACGATCTTCTAGATTTGTTTACTCTAGCCTCTGTGTTCTTGTATAGTCCTCGCGGAACCACCTTTGACCTCGTCTGGACATCTCCATGTCCTAATTGGGTCACAGGCTGGTTTTGGCTTTAGGTTGTATTGGTTTAATGAAAAGTAATATATACATTTACCTTTACCAAAAAAAAAAAAGGATAGAAATTCTCGAAGTTTATTTTTTTTGGTCGAACAGAAATTCTCTAAGTTCAAGAGCTTGATTGTGCAAATTTTAAGTTCAATGACCACGTTGACTACAAAAATAACCTGAGTAAAGCAACCAAATGTACACTTTTTCCCTATTTTTATGTACTTTAATGGGATGAGTCCACCAATACAAAAAAGACACAACCAAAAGAAAATTCGTCCTTTGAATTAGATATATGGATGTTTACTTCTTATGTACTTCTGTATATAATTTATATACGACGTTCGAGATATGAAACATCAATTTACACATTCATCCACTGCCACTCTATCAAATACACGACCAACCCCATCAACATTCTATTGGAGACATTAATAAACCTATTAATAAACCTGGTCGAAATAGCATATTCTCAATATATAGACACGAGCTCAACCGTGCCTACTCAAATGTTTTTGCAAATAAAGTGAGAATCGAACTGTTTCCATACGGGAGGCAATATTGAAGTCTGCTTGTGTATTGACTTTGATTAAGATCTCATTTTGCTGAGCTTTTCATGTGCCTAGGAGGATATATATACGGAGCAAGTCCGAAGGTTGAAGGAAGAAGTCAAGGGTCTATTCGACCGGGAGATGAATCAGGTGGCAAAACTCGAGCTCGTTGACGGGGTTCAAAGACTGGGACTAGGATATCATTTCGAGACAGAGATCAAGAACGCTCTTGGTTCCATCCATAACAACATCGAAGATGCTCAGCTTTCAGATGATCTCTATCCCGCTTCCCTTCGATTCCGGCTACTCAGACAACATGGATACAACGTACAGCAAGGTAGTCACCAACTAGTTAACCTCTTTAAATCATGTTGATGCACCAAAATTTACCTTACCATTCCTTTTTTTGGACATATAGATGTGCTTCAAAGGTTTATGAACGAGACAGGCACATTCAACGAATCGCTCAAAAGGGATGTGAAGGGGGTTCTTGGTCTTTATGAAGCTTCTGTCCATGGATTGGAAGGTGAAACCATACTTGATGAAGCTTGGAACTTTGCTTCTAAGCATCTGAAGGATCTAAACCTCGACAAAGTTCCCACCAATTCAGCGAGTAACGTGAGTCATGCATTGGATATGCCGATCCACTGGAGGCCAAATAGGGTGGAGGCTCGGTGGTTCATTGACATGTACGAGAAACAACAAGACATGATGCCATCTTTGCTACGATTGGCTAAGGCTCCATTCGTTTGGCGGAAAATATTCTCCCGGAAAATATTTTCCGGATTCTCCGGTGTTCGGGGGGCGAAAAACGTTTTTCGTGGGAAAATATTTTCCTTCCCCCCCTCACAAAATAGCCTAAGTTTATGGAAAATGACTTCCGCTTCTTCAAAAGCGGAAATCATTTTCCGGAGCTTCTTCTTCTTCTTCTTCACTAAGGTCGCCGGCCACTGCCGCCGCCGGTCGCCGGCGCCGCTGCTGCCGCCGCGGGTGCGCCGGCCGCCGCCGCGCGCCGGCCGCCGCCGCCGCTGGTCGCCGGTCGCCGCCGCCCCGCCGGTCGCCGGCCACCGCCCTCGAAAAATATTTTCCGAAACTTTTTCATATTGGTCGCCGAACACCGGAAAATTATGTTCCGGGAAAACATTTTCCAGGAAAATGACTTCCGAGAAAATATTTTCCAAAAGGAGAATATTTTCCGCCAAATGAACGGAGCCTAAATTAGACTTCAATTTAGTGCAGTCAATCTACAGGAAGGAACTTAGCAATGTGGCAAGGTATACACAAGCACTCTATAGTTCACAGATGCAATCTGGCAAGGTAGGAGCGCATTTTGATTGACTTAGTCATCACATGACAAATTTTTCAGGTGGTGGGATGAACTTGGGGCGACCAACACGACCTTCTTTAGGGACAGGCTAGTGGAATGCTATTTCTGGAGCATTCTAATGGTTTTCGAACCTCAATATACAGCTTTCAGAGAAATGAATGCGAAGATCGCTTGTATGGTGACACTTATCGATGATGTTTATGACGTATATGGGATGCCGGAAGAGCTTGAGCTCTTAACAGATTTCATTGTCAGGTCTGCGTAGTATTAGAACCATCATCATTTTCCCTTGTAACTATTATTGCCAAAAAAAAGACGGAATTAATTAGTCTATGAACGCTATGGAAAAAATAGTAAATACTATATATTATAAAATAAATTCTTCAATGTGTTTTGGACCTATCATGGTTTATGTTAGCTTTTTTTTCTTCTATGTAATTGATTGGTTTGGGCTAATAACGTAACGGTAGGCACTAACTTTCATTATTATTGCTAAAAAGCGTATTCAGTGACTGTAAAATTCATAAGATTGCTGAAATTGTGATAACTTATCTAGGTGGGACATCACAGACATCGATAAACTTCCTCCAATAATAAGAGATAGTTTCATGCTCTTGTACAACACCACCAACGAAATTGGGTATTGGACAATGAGAGAGCAAGGAATCAACCCCATCCCTTACCTGCGGAAAGTGGTAATCTCGACTTGATAAATCGTTCACCTAATAATTTCTAGCCCGTGTAGGGCAATTCATTTTTCTATGGGATAATTGTCCAAAAAGTCCTAAACCTATTGTACAGCGGCCAATTCAGTCATAAACCTTTCAATTGTACCAATTTAGTCATAAACCTTTTGGCAATTTCCCAATTTAGTCCCAAACCTTTCAATTGTGTCAATTTAGTCTAAAACCTTTTGAAGATTTGTCAATTTATTTCTAAATCTTTTGACGATTTGCCAATTCAGTCCTTTCGGCCAATTTTAGCTGAAAATCGTTGACAAGAACGCTGGTTGTCCTACATGACACGGCCAGCGGACGGCCGACGTTGGCCTAGAAATTTTTTTCAAATTTCAAAAAATTACAAAAATTGTCCACGTCCAACACTGGTTATTTCACGTAGGATGATTGGCCTTGACTAGACCTCCACGTCAATGATTTCCGGTCAAAATTGACCCGAATGACTAAATTAATAAATCGTCAAAAGGTTTATGACTAAGTTGGCATAGTTGAAAGGTTTATGACTAAATTGGCAAATTGTAAAAATGTTTATGACTAAATTGGCACAATCGAATGAGTTAAGACTAAATTGGCCGTCGTATAATAGGTTTAAAAGTTTTTGGACAATTTTCCCTTTTTCCACTTCTAACTTTCATTATGATTTCTATTTAAACATTTGAGAATCCGTAAAAGTAGGAGAAAAGAACGTCCCTCGACTTGGTCATTGACCCACTCTTCGAATTCAAATCCTATAGTGGGCCAATGAATGCAAGGCGTACATAAAGGAGGTCCATTGGTACAACAAGGGCACTAAACCGACACTGAAGGAGTACGTGGACGTTGCGGTGAATTCAGCCGGAGGGCTGGTTATGCTGTTGACCAGTTACTTCCTAACCACGGATAAATTGACGGAAGAGGGACTTGATTACGTGTCGAAAATGCCCAGTGTCGTGCATTGCTCTGCCAAGATCCTTCGACTCAACAATGATCTCAGTACATCATCGGTAACTTATTTTTATATTATTCTTCTCCTTGTAAATAGTGGCTTATAAAAAAAAAGAGTACATCATTGGTATATTCATAGTGACAAGCTATTCTTTCTTATATCTTCGATACGAATGTGAGATGAGTATTTGGACTTATGTTTGTAATGTAACATCCTGAATTTCGACCTATTTCCGGAATCAATGAAATAGATGTTATTTCTCATTTCATTTTAGTAAGTCTCACCCGGAACTGATCATTCTCGGAATACTAACCTTTAGGGAATGGCTACCTAGGGAAATGTACGTGGACCTAAGAACTCGATCATGAGTCGACCTTCGGTGACGATCGAGGTCGCCATGACTCGAATAACCATAGGTCGATACGCGTAATCCCTAAACAGCCGCCCGTTAGTGAGAGACCCTAAAATTGAGATTGGGCAATTTTGATCGCGAAATTGGATCCGGACTTGGATGTCGATTTTCGAGGTCGTGCGCGACTATTTTTACGAGGATGACGTCATTTTAGTGTGGCCAATGATGTTTGGGGTAAGTACGGTCGAAAAATGGAATTTCGACCCAGAACTCAGAAATTACAGTTTTGCCCCTGTGGGCACCGAGGCTAGATTCGGAGGCCGTTTGAGGTTATTTTTCGCGGCCAAGGTCATTTTGGGGTGGCCACGCACATTTAGAGTGGTTTTGGCCAAAAATTGGAATTTCGACAAAAATTGGAAAAATAATATTATTTTATTCCCGGAACTTCGCAGTTGATTTTCGAGGGCTTAGAAAGTGAATTTCGCGATTCCGACACCACATTATGTTGGCCACGCACATATGGAACGCGTATGTGCGAAAATTGGAATTTCGCCCCGGGACCGGAAAATTACCATTTTGCCCCTGGGCTAATTTTTGGGTCCGAATTTTTTTTGGATAAATTGGGATAATTATGGATAAATATCAGCTGCATCCTTGGGGACCATTGACCCTTTTGCCCCTCTCTTTTTAGATAAGAATGAATAGGAACCATTTAATTAGGGGCATTTTAGTCCTTTTTACCTAAGCTTGACACATGGCACCCCTAATTAAATTATTTGACCAAGTTGGCTGATCTCTCTCTCTCCTCACTCACTCTCACGTGCAGACCAGCCCTCTTCAGAAATTTTCTCCCCATTTTCCCACCTTTTCTCTCCACTTTCTCTCCATTTTCCTTCATTTTCTCTCTCGCCGGAGTTTCGCCGGAGCCACGCCGGCCAGCCGTTCCACCTTCCCGCTCTAGCCGAGTTAGTCTAGAGTCCGGTAAGTCGCGATCTAATCCCTATTTAGGACGTCGGGTATTTTCGGACTCGTTCGGGTATGGTTTAGAGGATTTAGAGGATGATTAAGGTATTGATCATGATTATTGGTGGTTAATCATGGCTATTGGTGGCTGAGTATGACTGTTAGTGGTTGTTGCGGGTTGGATTAGACATTGGGAAATGAGTTTTGGCTGTTGGAATTCGGTAGAAATCGATTCGGGCTTGAATCCGTGAGGTTCGGGGTGAATCGCGGATTCGCGGTTACTGTACCCACCCGGTTTTCTATTTTTTTAGAAAATTTTGAGGGTCGAATTTGAGGAAGTTTTCTTCATGAAAGTTGTTTCCAACATTTTGAAGTATAACATATATTAATTTGGGAATTTTTGGAAATCATTTGATGCCATTCGGAAGTCCATCTTTGGACCGAAATAAAACTGCCCGATTTACTGTTCACCCGCCTTCGGGTCTGTTCGAATTTTTATAAATTTTTCCAGGCCTATTTTCAAAATACTTCCTTCACAAAAGTTGTTGGGAACATTCGTGCCTATAACATATAAAAATTGAAAAGCTTTTCAAGGTGATTTGGGTGTTGAAATAAATGTATTTTGAGGACAAAATATTCTGTTGGAGCAAACTGATTTTGGTCTGATTTCAAGGGACAAAAAGGCATGGTTGCAGTTTGAACCGGATTTCGTGTTCTTCATAAGAAATGTTTATCGGGATGTGTTTTGTGACATATCCAAAATTGAGAATTTTTGGAGTTCGTTTACTATTTATTTTGATGGGATTTCGGTCACTGTATAAACTGCCCAATTTTACCCCGATTCTTTGGATGTTCGTTTTTATTAGCGGAATGGTGGGGGTGTCGAGGTTGAATGGTTGCTGCCCTTGTGGTGGGAATTGAGCCTGAATGTGTGTTTGAATGTGGATTGGTGATATGCCGTGTGTGTTTGGCCGTGAGATGTGGTGGTGTGATAGTGCATTCGCGTATTGTATTCGCGTGCCAAGAATGTGTGATTGGGTGGCGTGTTCGTGTGACGAGAATGTGAAATTGTGAAATGCGTGTGAGGTGTGCGTGTTTGGCAGTGTGTAGGTGTGGCCGTGTGACAAATGTGGTTTGAGTGGAATGAAGGTACTGGAATGTAGGATTGGTTTGAAAGGTGAGACCCTGAGGCGTGTACGTTTACGCGGGGTGAGGTCCGTCCTGAGGCGTGTACGTTTACGCGGGACGATGCTGTCCCTGACGAGATGACGATGCCCGGCCCGACGGGGTGACGATGCCTGACATGGTCAGAAGACCGTTGGCCTGATGCGTTTTACGCGGGCGCGGTAGAAGGAAAGTGTGTGTAGGATTCCATCCTGAGGCGTGTTCGTTTACGCGGGACGATGCCGTCCCTGACGAGGTGACGATGCCCGGCCCGACGGGGTGTCGATGCCTGACGAGGTCAGAAGACCGTTGGCCTGATGCATTTTACGCGGGCGCGGTAGTGGTGGAAAGGTTGAGAATGAGCGGGAATTGGCTTGAGGTGCGAGGTTTGAGAAAGTGACGCGTGGTGTGAGTTGGTGTGCGAGTGTGTTTGTATCGCGTAATGCAGTGCGCGATTATGGGGTAAAATCTGCTAGGCATGGTATGGGACGTGCCCAAGTAGGTTTTGCTTTATAATCGAGGCACGCGCGCGGCTGTGATGTACTGCTGTGGTATGATTGGAGTGTGTATTGATATGTGGAAAGTGTGTGATGGCATGTGTGCAAGAATTGTATGTTGGGATTGTGGGCTAACGTGCATGGTGCGTATGCAGAGAGTCCAGGTATGTGTGAATGTTTGATTGCTGGTTGTGTGGTTGTTTGGTTGCGCGTTTGGATGTGTCTGGAATTACGTGATAGCCTAGGTGGGGCTTAGGTTGTGACTTATTGAGATGTGATCTCATGGTTGTTTCAACCAAACCATTTCAGAGCCCCCACCTGAATGTCGAGATTGAGGTCGACTCGGAGTCGTCGGGTGAGCAGACAGCTGCGGAGGATTCAGGTGGTGATGCCGAGGACAGTGAGTCAGAGTGGACGCCTTCGAGAGGGCGTAGGGGATAGTTCTGGGAGGAGGATGCGCCCCATTTTTGGATAGTGCTGACCTAGAGAGCTGATCTTGATATTTTGGTGGTTTGGAGTTTATAGTTCGGTGTGCTTATAAATTATTTTGTGGTTTGTATTGGCGGATGATGTAAATATTTGGAAGTGTAATATATGCTTGGTGGTTTGACGATTTGTTCCTTCCTGGTGTTCTCCAATTTTAATGTCCGGGATTTTTTTATTGCTTCCGCCGCGAGTTAACTCTGATGGATCGTTGGGTCAGCGACGTTATTCCTGGGACGTCGCACTCTGTTCGACCGGAGGCGGGATGTCGCGAGCTCGATGGGGTTCGAGGCGTGACATGTAATCCATCAATATTGTCCTGCTTAGCATGAATTGGCACGAGGTGACAACTTTAAGGCGCTTGAATGCTACATGAATGAAACCGGCACTTCATAAGTGGCCGCGCGGGAACACATCAGGCATATGGTGCGTGAGACCTGGAAGAGGATGAATAATAGAGTCGTGTTTGAGGACTACTCGGTTCCCCGGTTTGAGCGTTTTCTCGGTGCCTGTTTCAACCTGGCACGAGTTTCTCATATTTTTTACCAATATGGAGACGGATTCGGCCTTCCCAGTCAGGAAACCATGGACCATCTTGTGTCGGCTATATACGAACCTGTGCCCCTCGATTAGGCATGCATGAATGACCAAGGTCTTGCTTTCGGAGAGAGCCTTTGATCTTATTTGTCTTTCTTAGCTTTCGAGCTGGATTTGTGAGCTCTAAGATATCGAAGAACATGCTATTCCGTGCTTTGTGTGGTGGCTGATTATGTTATTACAAACAATATTCATGGCGATCGAATTTTATTTTATGTTGAATATATAGCTTCTTGTATTGGAGAAAAATTGAAAAGTGTTGTAAATTAAGTCAGATTGCAATCAATCGCAGCGGAATTTTAATTGTCAGCCATATATTCTCTTTGCAGAACAACGTAATTAGCACAATAAAAGAAGAACGATACACCGGAAGTTTTTACGTAGAAAACCCAATATGGGAAAAACCACGGGACGCTGATCTAGGAATTGCTCCAGTATAATCAAAGGATTACAATTAACACTCTAATGGTGTTTCTCTTGTAATAAATCCTCACGATTGTCACAAAACACATCCTCACTTGATGAACTCTCAAGATCTCTCGTATTTACACACATTATTGAAGGCTCTTGTGATATCTCTAGAGTATTTTCTGGTGTACACAAAAAAAAACCTCCAACCAAGCCCTTCTGTTTATAGCGGTAGATCTCCACCCAAGTTAGTAATCCTCCCTAATTGATTGACAATCACCTCCCAATTAGAAATCTCCCCAATTGATTGGAATTCCTCTAATTGGACAATCCCTAGAATTGATTCCATCCTGATATTCTTTCTAAATAAGACTTCTTATTTAGATTTTTTTCCTTTTCAGCGTTCTACCATAATAGGACTCCTTTCTTTAGGTATTTGATGAGCAATCTTCGCGATATTTCAAATCGACTCCGAACATGTTGGGTTGCTCCCAACAAATCTACCCCCAGCCCATCATGGAGGGTCTTAAACTTCCTTATCACTTCGATAAGCCAGCCTCCTTCCTACAGAATTTTAGTTTCTCCGTAGGTAGAGACTTTGTCAACATATTAGCACCATTTTTGTTCGCGTGGATCTTCTGGAGCTTTAATTGCTTCTCTTCCAACATTTCTCGTATCCAATGATACCTAATATCAATATGCTGCATCCTCGAATGAAATGTGAAATTTTTACTGAGATGAATGGCGTTTTGGCTATCGCAATGCACAACATACTCATCTTGCTTGTGCCCCAACTCTTGTAGAAATCTCTTCATTCACAAATCTCTTTGCTAGCTTCGGTGGTGGCTATGTACTCAACCTTCGTTGTGGATAATGCAAAGCACTTTTGCAATCTTGATTGCCAAGAGACAGCTCCACCTGCAAAAATCATCAAATAACATGACGTAGATCGCTTGTAATCTACATCTCCTGCTATGTCTGCATTGGTGAACCCTTCGAGCATCGGTTTTCCATCACCAAAATACAAACACAAACTAAATGTCCATTTAAGATACCTAAGTATCCACTTGATAGCCTCCCAATGTTGTTTGCCGGGGTTTGACATGTATCGGCTAACAATTCCAATAGCATACCCAATAACCGGTCGTGTGCACATCATCGCATACATGAGGCTTCCAACGGCAAAGGCATAAGGAATCTTTAGCATCTTTCCATTCTCCTTTTCACTTGAGGGAAACTGCCTCGTGTTAAGCTGAAAATAATTAGCCAAAGGCGAGCTGACTGCTCTGGCGTAGCTCATGTTGAATCTTTGCACAACTTTCTCTACATATCTCTCTTGGGATAATCACAACTTTTCACAAGCTTTATCGCGCAGTATCCTCATCCCAAGTATTTGCTTTGCTTGTCCAAGGTCCTTCATGGAAAATTCCTTGCTCAACTCCTCCTTGAGCTTCATGATTTTTTTGATATCATTACCCACAATTAGCATATCATCAACATATAATAATAATAAAAAAAATCAGAAAATCACTGTCATGGAACTTTGTGATGAACACGCAATGATCTCCCGTTGTCTTCTTGTATTCATTCCTCTCCATGAATGAATCAAATTTCTTGTACCATTGCCTTGGAGCTTGTTTGAGCTCATAGAGACTCTTCTTCGACTTGCATACAAGATTTTCTTTCCCTTTGGTCACAAAATCTTCGAGTTGCTCCATATATATCTCATCATCAAGATTGCCATGTAAGAATGCTATTTTTACGTCGAGTTGCTCGACCTCCAAGTTCAAGGTTGCGGCCAAACCAAGAACAACTAGAATGGATGGCATCTTTACAACAGGAGAGAAAATCTCCTCCTAATTAATTGCCTTTTGCTAACGAAACCCTTCATCACCAATCTTGCTTCGTAACGTGGTTTGGGGCTGTTTTTTGTAGCCTTTAACCTAAACACCCATTTGTTCTTGAGTGTTTTTTGGCCTTTTGGTAGCTTCACCAAAGCATAGGTGTGATTATCATGCAGGGATTGCATCTCTTATTGCATTGCTTTCATCCATTCCTTCTTGTGGATATCAATTTCCACTTCTTGTAAATTCTCGGGTTCTCCCCCATCAGTGAGAAACACATACTTTAGCGAGTATTTTATGTTAGGTTGCCTTTCTCTCGTTGATCTCCTTGGCTGCTCTTAAGGAACATCATCAACATCAATCGTTTCCTCCTCAACCTCATCATCAACTTCTGCTTCTTCTGCTTCTCCTTCTTCTTGAGCTTCCGCTCCAGCATCTCCACCATCTTCATTACTAATCTTGGCCTCAACTCCTTCGGCAGCCTCATCATTGGCTGCTGTCTCGGTTTGTGCTTGCTCAGTCGAATCATTCTCAACCTCTTTTTGTGTTTCTGCACCAACAGAATTTTGATGAGTCTATAGGCTCCAAGTCAACTAACTCTTCCTCCACACTTTGAGGTTCTTCGTACTTCTTGAGGTCTTTGATAGTTTGATCTTCAAAGAATACCACATCTCGGCTTCGAAACGCCTTCTTACTTTCGGGATCCCACAATCTATAGCCAAATCCTCGTGAGCATATCCCAAGAATATGCACTCCTTGGCCTTTCCATCTAGCTTGGCTCGTTCATCTCTTGGTATGTGTGAGAATGCCCTACAACCAAACACTCTCAAGTGACTGTAAGATGAATTCTTACCATTCTATACACTTTGTGGTGTCTCACCTTTGAGTGGAATCGAAGGTGACAAATTTATCAAATCTACCACCGTCCTCATTGCCTCCCCCGAAAAAGAGTTTGACAACTTCGCATGGGAGAGCATACACCTTATCCTCTCACATATTGTTCAATTCATCCTCTCGGCAACACCGTTGTGTTGGTGTCTTATGCACTATTTTCTCGAGCTTTATGCCATTAACTCTACAGTAATCCTCAAATGGCCCTCGGTATTCCCGCCATTGTTAGCCCTCACACTTCAATTTTCTGCCGGTCTCCCTTTCTAGTTTCGCGTGCAAACCCTTGAAGGTATCAAGAACTTAATCCTTTGTCTTCAATGCAGTAGCCCACACCTTCCTTGAAAAATCATCTATGAAGGTAACATAATAGAAAGCACCATCAGCAGTTCTCAAAGTCATAGCATAAACATCGGTATGTAACAAATCAAGTCGATTGGCCTTTTTCAATGGTGAAATTGATTTAAAGGCAACTCTATTATTTTTTCCTACCAATACAGTCTTCACAAGGATTTATAGAGGTACCTTTTATGTCCGGGAGTAAATTCTTCAATGTGAGAAACTTCATTCCATTCTCACTAATATGTCCAAGTCTTTTATGCCAAAGCTCGATAGATACCTCTCTCAATGCATTAACATCTCTGCCGCATAACTTCACTTGTATGGTATAGAGTGATATATTTTTCACTCCTCTTGCTACCACCAAGTTACCCTTGGTTAACTTCCACTTCCCTTTGCCGAAGTGACTCACATAACCATCATCATCTAGCTTTCCTATGGAGATCAGATTAAGGTGAATATCAGGGACATGCCTTAACTCTTTCAAGATCAGCTTGCATCCATTGTTAGTCTCGATCTCAACACTTCCTATGCCAACAATCTTTGACGAGCCATCATTATCCTTTCTCACGAGACCGAAATCTCCAGCTGTATATGAAGAGAAAAATTCTCTCTTGGGAGCTACATGAAAGAAGGCTCTGGAATCAACTACCCAAGTGGTATCCTGACATGTTAAGTTGATGCTCTTATCAGTGCAGATTGTTAAGAAAACTTCCTAATAGATTTTGATGATGACAAAACTATCCATGAGTAAAGTCTGATATATACTTTGAAGTAATGCTTTTGAAGTATTCTAAGTCCAAACAGTTATATTCTGAAAGTCCAGACTTTAAGTTTATCAGAAGAAGTAATCCAGGTTCTGCATTGCAGAAGACAAAGTTCAGACTTTGTGCAAAGAAGTAGAAGTATCGCAGTTTATATATTGGAATCAATATATTCAGAATTTACCAACAAACCACTCTGACTTCAAGTTCTGAGCGCAAAGACCTTATCCAGACGTTATCGCTTACTCAGAACGTAAACAACGACTAGTAATCTGGCTTGGATTTCACTAATAAAA